AATAACAACATTGCTGCTGTAAACAGACTATCATAAATTTAGTAAGTAAAATTTTCAGCAGGGTTGTGTTCCTTCTGGAAGCTCAGAAAATCTTTTCCCTGTCTTTTCTAGTTCATGGAAGCCACCTACATTCCTTGACGAGTGCATTCTATCTTCATGACCAACAGCATAGTATTCTTGAATGTCTGTCTCTTGCACACACATTTTCTCTCTTATTCTAACGCTTTCTGTAACCGTTTTGGTTCTTGAAATTACATTTTGTTGTTGTTTCTGCTGTTAAATGCTGTTGAGTCAGTTCCAACCCATGGTGACCCTGTATAGGGTTTCCAAGGAGCAGCTGGTGAGATTGAACCACCGACCTTGCAGTCCAGTGCATTAGCTTGCAGTGCCACAAGAATAATATCCCTATCTCAAGATTCTTAATTCCGTCATATATTCAGAGTCCCTTTTCAATGTAAAATTTGGCCATCTTGGCCTATCAGGAGCACTCTGGCTGCACTTCTTCCAACATGAATCTGTTTGTTCTTTGGGCAGCCCGTACCACTTTCAGTATTCTCCTCCAACACCATAACTCAAAAGCATCAATTCTTCTATGGTCTTCCTTATTCACTGTGCAGCTTTTGCATGCATATGAGGTTACTGAAAATACCGTAGCTTGGGTCGGGCGCACCTTAGTCCTCAAGCTGACATCTTTGTACTTCAACACTTTAAAGAGGTCTTGTGCAGCAGATTTGCTTACTGTAATATATCACTTCTTTCTTGCTGCTGCTTCTGTAAGTGTAGATGGATGATCCAAGCAAAATGAAGCCTTTGACACCTTCAATCTTTGCTCCATTTATATGGATGTTGTTTATTTGTCCAGCAATGAGTATTTTAGTTTTCTTTACATTGAGGTGCAACCCATTCGGAAGGCTGTGGTCTTTGATTGTTATCAGTAAGTATTTTAAAGTCTTCACTTTCAGAATGCAAGGTTGTATCATCTGCATCTCACAGATTGTTAATGAATTTTCCACGATGGTGTCCAGAGCTTGTCATGATCCACATAATCAAAAGCTTTTGCGTAATCAATAAAACAAAGGTAAATAGATATCTTTCTAGTATTAATTGCTTTCAGCCAAGATCCACCTGAGGTCAGCAATAGTATCTCTCATTCCATGTCCCCTTCTGAAATTCCGCAAGGTCTCTGACAATGTATGGTTGCAGCTGTTTTTATATTATCTTTAGCAAAATTTAACTTGCATGTGATATTGATGGTATTGTCCTATGATTTCTGCATTCTGTTGGTTCAGCTCTCTTTGAAATGGACACAGACATGAATCTCTTCCAGTCAGTTGGCCAGGTAGTTGTCTTCCAAATTTCTTGGCATAGATGACTTTGTTGCAAGTTTTCAGTTTGTCTTCCATCAATTCCTGATACCTTGTTCTTTGCCAGTCCCTTCAAAGCACCTTGGACATTTTCCTTCCATATCATTGGCTCTTTATTATATGATACCTTATGAAATGGTTGAATGATCCTTCAATATTGCAAATTGAATCTTAATTTTTTTCCCTCCGTCATTTCAGCTTTAGAAATTCTGAAAGTATTCTTCCCTTTTGGTTTTCTAACTACAGTTCTTGGTACATTTTGTTCTTTTACTTTGTCTTCTCAAGCTGACCTTTGAAACTTTCATTCAGCTCTTTTATGTCCTCATTTCTTCCATTTGCTGAGTTTCTTCTGACATCTGTTTTGTTCTTTTCCATTTTTCTTGTCTTCTTAATGACCTTTTGCTTTCTTCCTGTATGATGTTCTTGATGTCATCCCACAACTCTTGTGGTCTTCAGTCTTTAGTGTCTAATGCATCAAATCTGTTTTGAGGTAATCTCTATATTCTGGTGGGATTTGTTCTAGGTTGTATTTTGCCTCTTGTTGGTTTGATTTAATTTTCTTCAGCTTTGGCCTGAACTTGCACATAAGCAGTTGATGGTCTGTTTCACAGTGTGCCCCAGGCCTTGTTTTGGCTGTTGATTTGGAGCTTTTCCACCATCTCTCTCCACAGATGTGGTGGTGATAATGTGCCTTGGAGTCAGTTCTGACTCATAGCGACCCTGTACAGGGTTTCTGAGGCTGTAAATCTTTACAGGAGCAGAAAGCCTCATCTTTCTCCCACAGAACAGCTGATCGTTTCGAACTGCTGACCTTGAGGTTCGCAGCCCAATTCGTAACCTCTCCACAGATGTAGTCAGTTTGATTTCTCTGTATTCTATCTGGTTAGGTCCATCTGTTGGGTCCATGTGTATAGTTGTGTTTTGATGTTGTTTAAAAAGGTATTTACAATGAAGAAGTCATTTGTCTTGCAAAATTCTATCATGTGGTCTCCAGTATCTTTTCTATCATCAAGGCAATATTTTCCAGCTACCTTTTCTCAATAAGGTCCTAATTTCCCTGCCCCTTCTTATGTACCTTCATTGTTACATGAGAGAGAAATATCCTGTTAACCTGTTTATTCCTCCATGTTTAACCTTCTTGATGTTGCTGCCTTAAGAACTACTCATTTTCAAGACCTTTGATAATCAGTGCTATGAATTCATAAGTCTCAAGACTTTTGTTCAGTGTTTTGAAGTTTGTTTAGTGGGTTTCCTTCTCTGATTTTGATTTGGTTGTCTGCTATTCATGTATGTCCTTCCCTCCACATTCCTCTTTTTCTATCAGTATCTTAATCCTCCCTTTTCCGTTCTTAAAATGCAAGAATGCTATTAATTTGCTTTTTGGTTCTCTATTTACAGGTGTTTTGAAGTTTGTGATATTGTTATTTCTTAATAAAGTGAAAAAATGGGTCATGTTTTATTTAGAGTGGTGTTTTTTGTTACAGAGCATAAAAATATGTTTATAAGCAGCTCATTGACAAAACAGAGAAAGTTCTGAAAAATAGGTTTTTTAAACAGTGAAGTTAAAAAGGAGCCCATATTAGAATTATTTCATAAGTCAATAAAAACATTTTTAAGTTAAATAAGTCATATAAGAACTTAATATTTTACATATGCAAGTATAGATTTGTATATTTTTAATTTTACAATTTAACATTGAATTGTTTTAAATAGAATTTTTATGTAGATTTGTTTACATATGTGTTTTTGGCAATTATATTGATGTATAGAAAATGAGATTAGGTTTTTATTACTAGTAGCAGTGTTTTCTAATCTTTTTTATGTTGGATCATCATTGTCAATATTTTATTTTCTATTCTGTTCTCTTTCCAGAAACACAACAGAGTTCTTTAATGCAGAATGTGTAGATAGTATGCTAAAGGAAATATACAAACTAATATGAGAGAACTTCAAAAGGTTCATGGAAATAAGGAATTTAAAGATAATGGAATTTTTCCAAGGAACTTTTTTAAGCTCCCTTGTATGTACAAGGATGTCATCACATTCATATCTCTAGAAAGATAAAAATCAGAAACTTCGGGCATCTGTGTAAAAGAATTAAAAAATTGATAGGCATGTAGCCTGTCATTAAATGAGAAAGTTAGTTTTAAAAGGACATGGTTTTGTTTTAGTTTAAAATATATTTTTCATGTAACACTTTCACAGTACATGTGGGTTAATGCGCCAGACTGCAAAGCCCATTTGAACTGCAAGGTTCGCTGTTCAAGCTCACCAGCTGCTCCTTGGAAACCCTGTAGAGGGTCACTATGGGTTGGAACCAACTCAGTGGCACTTCACAACAACAACAACCTTATGGTCATTCAGCGTTGTTTTAAAATGAACAAGCTGAAAAAAAAAATTGTATTTAACTATTTTTCGTGAAAAATATTAGGATCTAAACCACACAAATGCTAATTTATTCATGTTCAATAAAATAACTTGGTAACTACTAAAATAGAAACTGCATTTTTGGCTGCACTAAAGTCATCCCTCATAACCTCAGTGAAATGCAGTTTCATACTAAAATTACAGTGAAACCTGTGAGAGGGGAACTCAATGGCGCTGCTTTATTTTTTTCAGATTTCACAAGTTTTATGACTTTGACAGGGTACAGTCTTACTTTTTTATCGTTTGTTTTAGTGGAAAATATTTGAGTTGTTCTTCTCTAACAGGTTTTCACCTTACACAGATCACAGCCTCTACTCTTTTTACTGAATTTTGAGACACTTTCAGAAAAGTTTATACTGTATGCAGAAATTACAACCATGGCATAATTTTAGTTTTCCTTTGTTATTATGTAATTTTTAGTTTTATAAAACAAATCTAAATAAATTAGTTTCACTTTTATGGCATGTAGTTCAATTTTCTGTTTTCCATGGAATCGGAGTATAATTAATTTTATAAGGAGATTTTAGTTCTTAATCCTTTCATGTCCTAATTATGTTGTGCTTTGAGTTGATGATACCATGTGTTTTCTGTAAAGGAAGGCCTTCTGAAATCAAGCAGGGGTAGGTTGAAGTAATATGGATTTTGATTCAGTTATGTGGGACACATAGGTCCCAAGTATACTCTGGTGGTAGGATTAGTGGGGTGAGGCCCATTTCTTCAGATTCACAGATCTATAGTTCCCGCCACACTATAGCCTGTACTACAACTGGGATTGCAGCTTTCCAAAAAACCAGAAAGGCTGAAAATGTTGATGAGCAATACACCCATATGTCATGAATTTTGTGATAGCATGAACCTTCTGAAGAACCCTGATGAAACCATGGCTAAAGTACTCAGTTGCTAACCAAAAGGTCATCAGTTCGAAACCACCAATAACAGTTTCGTGGGAGAAAGATGTGACAGTATGATTTCTTAAAGATTCACGGTGTCGGCAATCCTATGGGTCACTTGTGCTCTGTCCGGTAGAGTCAAGCAGTGAGTTTCAGTGGAAAGTCATACTTGACAGGCATTTTTCTCTTTTAAAACTTAAGATGTTACTTTAATAGCATGTTACTTAAAGTAAGACATGGGCAGAACTTAGCTAATAATAGTAATTGCACTTTAAAATTAGGCACATAACTAAAAGTCGTATGTTTGATTCATTCACAGGAATTGAAACCAGATGTAGTAACTAAATCTGCTCTTGGTGATGATATAAACTTTGAAAAAGTCTGCAAAAAGGTATGTTTGTAATAGATTGTTTTATGCAAAGTCTTTATGTGCAGTACTTTTTGTCACCTTGTTCTTTGAAGAGAAAATTTATAAAGAAGCCAATTATTATTAGTATATTCTTACTCTCCCTCTTGAGCTTCTGAAATGTTTTATGGCAGTCTATGAATTTTGCTTTGCTGTAGTATCACACCTTCAAGATCCTTAAAGATTTGCTGAGCTTAATTTGACATGTTAGATAACAGTCCATTTATCTTACTAGTTGAAACAAAAAATATTGTGATTCTTTTCAAAGCATTTTCACGAATATGAATCTCTGTGTTCACCATGTGAAAAATCATTTTATCCCTTTTTTACAAATGAAGAAACTGACGCTCATGAAGAGTTACATGAGATTCTATTATTTATGTGGATCACTAGGAACTTTTTACCAGATCATCTGCTCTTTGACCTTTTTACCACTTCTGCTTCTTCCTTTTGTATCTTTTACGTTTCCGTTCACTAAGACAAGCCAATTCTACTTTAAAATGGATTTTGGATTCCTTGATTTTTCTCTGTTACTGCTTTTTTTTTTTAACCCTTTCATTGATTTCTGCTCTTATCTGTGTCATTTATTTCCATTGTTTTGCGTGATGTTTAGTTTGTTCATTTTCAAAGAACTGGTTGGCATAGTAACTGCAGCAGTTGGGTTCAAACATGGCAATAATTTGAATGAGGATGGTGCAGGACTAAGCAGTGTTTCATATTATTGTACATAGGTTCTCTGTGAGCTGGAACTGACTCAACAGCACCTAACAACAGTTGTTACATTTTAAAGTAGCTAAGCATTGAAAGTTCTGCCGGTGCGGTGCGTTAAACCCATTAGTGGGCTCCTAATAGAAAGACTGAACTCACCAGCCATTCCTTTGATAGAGATGAGGCAGGCTGCTTCTATATTGATTTACTGCCTTGGGAACTTTCTAGAGCAGTTCTACTCAGTCCTCTTGGGTTGCTGTTGGTCAGAATCATCTCAGTGTCAATGGGTTCTTTGGATAAGACATAAGAAGGAAGGGTTTTTTAAAATTATTATTTGATTGTTTAGCGGAAAGGGAAGTTGTAGGAAAAGTAATTCCAGAATCACGGTCAGCAGTTCAAAGCTACCAGAGGCTCCATGGGAGAAAGATGAGGCTTTTTGCTCCCATAAAGATTTACAGCCATGGAAACTCTATATAGGATCACTATGAATCGGAACCAACTCCATGGCACATAACCACCACTTTCATCTACAGCCAGCCCTTCTTTTAATCTTTCAGTGTATGCAATGTGATCTATCCTAAAATGTGAAAGCAAGTATCTATATCAGTAAACTCATTTTGTGTTCATAAATATATTTGCATCTGGCTAGATTTATAGTCAGGAGTCCTGGTGTGGCACTGTAGAATAAGCACTGGACCGCAAGTTGTTTTGAACCACAAGGTCGACAGTTCAAACTCAGCAGCTGCTACTTGGAAATCCTATACAGGGTTGCTGTGTGTGGGAACCAGATGAATGGCACTTAACAATAACAACAACAAATTTGTAGTCAGGACATTTATATAGTAATTCAGACAGAAAGTTTAGGATCAGATATTGTAATGTAAGACCTAAACATTTGTACCCCTTTCATACCTTCCTCCAAACTAAAGGAAGAACAGAAAAATAATTCTATCTGTTATTGATGGAGCTCTTGAGAGATTTACAGCCAAATGAAACTCTGCCCAAGAATTATTCAAGCATTGCAACCTACTTGACTTAAGCTATTTTGTAGCTACTTTATTTATGGTTTCCTTCCATTATAGCCCAGTTCTTCTGTAATAGAGTGAGCTCATATAAATCTGTGAAACAAAAATAAGGTTGACAGCTGAGTGTCTTGTAAGAGGGAATGATTGTTCTTTAGTCTGTCACAGAAAAGAAACTTTGATGAAAGATAACCAAATAGGAAGAAAGTCTCTTACATATTGTTGTTGTTAAGTGTCAAGTCGGTTCCGACCCATAGTGACACTGTATAGGGTTTCCAAGGAGCAGCTGTGAACTTGAACCACGGTCTCTTACATCGAGCACTGCATATTTGGTGCTGCTTGATAATGCGAAGAACACAGAACAGATTAATTTCTGTAACATCTTACATCTTGTATAGTATTTCCATATATATTCTTACTTTAACTGTTCTTAACAATCCTCTCAGAAAGTATATATGGCTGCATGTATGTGGGTGTGTACTAATGTCTTCATTTTTCAGATGAGGAAAGGTGAAGGAGTGTTAATTAACTAGATGTACATTTAAAGTAAGGACTAGAATGCTTGACATTTTCAGACAGCAATTGTCAGAACTCCATGACCTTCCCAATTCAATAGCATCTACTGCATGCATAGCATGGTCAACTGATACTATGCAGGATGTGAAGGAAGTAGAAAATAGAGACAGTTTTGTAGAGAATATGTAATCTAATGGGGTCATAGTATGGTGCTATTGGATAAGCATTGGACACCAAACTACAAGGTCAGTGGTTCAAACCAACCATCTGCTCTTCAGAAATCTTATACATGGTTGCTCTAAGTTGCAACAACATGTAATCTAGTAGACAATAAAAGGCAGTTGTATGAGGGACCTTCAAGCAGTTCAAGAAAAAACTGCAGTTTGAAAAATTTTTGTACCAAAATAAATTCATGCTAACTTATAACATGTCTAAACAGGGTCTAGTTTGAGGTACTAAGATGGATAAGATATTAGTTTGATATACACCCCTATCTGAGCAACATGGATTCTGCTAAAATAGAAGCAAAAATAAAAATCAAACTTATGTTGAAGCATGAGTGGAAGGATGCCAAAATTGTTTATGCTTTACAAAAAGTTTATGGGGACTATAAGGACTTCATTTTTCTTGGATCAACTATCAACACTCATGGAAGCAGCAATCACGAAATTAAACAGCATATTGCATTAGGCAAATCTGCTGCACAATACCTTTTTAAAGTGTTGAAGAGCAAAGATGTCAGCTTGAGAACTAAGGTGCGCCTGACCCATAGTATTTTCAGTAACCTCATATGGATGTGAAAGCTGGACAGTGAATAAAGAAGACCATAGAAGAATTGATGCTTTTGAGTTATGGTATTGGAGGAGAATATTGAAAGTGCCATGGGCTGTCAAAAGAACCAATAGATCTGTGTTGGAAGAAGTGCAGCCAGAGTGTTCCTTGGAGGCTAGGATGACCAAACTTTGTCTCTCATACTTCAGACATATTGTCAGGAGGGACCAGTCACTGGAGAAGTATATCATGTTTGGTAAGGTCAGAGAGAAAGAGGAAGACCCCCAACGAGATGGATTAGCCAAGTGGCAGCATCGATGGACTCAAGCATGGCAACAAGTAGTGAGGTTGGCCCAGGATCAGGCAGTGTTTGTTCTGCTGTGCATAAGGTCACTATGAGTCAGTACCAACTCAATGGCACCTAACAACGATGACAACAACATACACCAAAGACCACCAATCGTCTATCAGTTTGTTATACAGTGGTGGCTTGTGTGTTGCTCTGATGCTAGAAGCTTTGCCACGTGTATTATAAATGCCAGTAGGACCACCCATGGTAGACAGGTTTCATATGAACTTCCAGGCAAAGACAAACTAAGAAGAAGGAGAGACAGCCTACTTCCAAATATTTAGTCACTGAAAACATTATTAATAACAGTGGAACACTGTCAGCACCAGAATATTGAATATTGAAACATGATGGAAGGCACCAGAATATTGCCAGATTGCTGGAAGATGAACTCCTCAGGTTGAAAGACTCTCAAGAACCTCCTCTGCAAAATAGAGTTGACCATGATGCTACAAATCGAGTAGAACCTTCAGGACCTTCATTTGCTATTGGGGCACAACTCAAAATGAAGAGAAACAGCTGTAAACATCCATTAATAATCAGAACCTGGAATGTACAAAGTATGAATCTAGGTAAATTGGAAGTTGTCAAAAATAAAATGAAAAGCATAAACATCGATTTCCTAGGCATTAGTGAGCTGAAATGGATTGGTATTGGCCATTGTGAGTCAGGCAGTCTTATAGATTGCTATGCCAGGAAATGACAGATTGAAGAAGAATGGTGTCACATTCATCTTCAAAAAGACCATTTCAGGATCTATCTTGAAGTACAATGCTGTCTGTGATAGGATAATGTCCATATGCATTCAAGGAAGACCAGTTAATACCACTATTATTTAAATTTTTGCACTAACCACTAAAGCCAGTGATGCTGAAATTACAGAATCCTACCAAATTTTTCAAGGAGCTTTGATAGCATAGTGGTTACGAATGAGACTGCTAATCTCATGTTCAGCAGTTTGAAACTACCAGCTGTTCCGCAGGAGAAAGATGAGGTCTTCTGCGCCCCTGAAGATTTACAGCCTTGGAAACCCTGCACAGGGTCGCTGTGAGTTGGAACCGACTCCACGGCACATAACAAAAACAACTTATTCAGCCTGAATTTAATCAAACATGCAATCAAGATATATTGATAATTACTGGCGATTAGAATACAAACGTAGGAAATAAAAAAGAAGGATCAGTATTTGGAAAATATTTAATAAAAGTATTTGATAAAAATGATGCTGAAGGTGCCATGATAGACTTTTGCAAGACCAAAAACTTCTTTATTGCAAATTCTGTTTTTTAAACAACATAAAAGACGGCTATACACATGGAACTCACCAGATGGCGTACATAGAAATCAAATTGACTGCATCTGTGGAAAGAGAGGAGGAAAGACTGCATATCATCAACCAAAACAAGACCAGGTGTAGACTGGAGCAGATCATAAATTGCTCATATGCAAGTTCACGATGAAGCTGAAGAAAATTAGCACAACCCCGTGAGAGCTAAAATATGACCTTGAACATATTCCAACTGCACTTAGAGATCATCTCAAGACGGATTTGATACATTCAATATTAAAGACTGAAGACCAGAAAAGTTGTGGATGACATCAGGAACAACATACTGGAA